TAATTTTTATAGCATTTATCAAAGTTTAAAATAAATAAAGGGGTATGGCATGCATCTTACCCCAATAGGAGGTTAGACATTTGTCATCAGCCAACGTCTACACGAACATTTTAATTCTTAGAGATTCCTGTTGAAGATGATCCGAGGTTTCTGTCTCTGGATTCACCAAGTTTGTCTTTTTCAACAACCCAAATTATTCAAGATTCATTTCCATTTCTTTCTTTTTTTCTTTCTCATTTTCTGATTTGTATTATAAATAAATGGTTGCCAGGTTGATCCACAATTTACACTGATTAATCAGTAATATACTTCTGGACAGAGATGTAAGCTCAGTGCCTAAGAGGGTTCGTATTAACATATCACTGCCGTGGGAAGTAACCTTCTGTGATTATCTGACATCGGCCTGAAGTGATGCTGTGTTTAGTGTCTCCAGCTGAAAATGAGAGACCTTTCACAGGACAAGATTTATTGTATGTCCGACTCAGGTAAGTAGCCCATTAAGCCAGCTATTAACCTGCCTCTTATACATTGTGTGTTGGTACGTGCGCGTTTGTGTGCATTTGTGTGTGCGTGTGCACGAATGCCTATATATGTCTCGGGTTGTAAAACCACTGTGGTGGCCTCAGTCATGTGTTTTTGCTTGTATATGTAGTCGTGTGTAAGGAAACTTCAAACAGACACATAATCTTTGTACTTTCACATCTCTGCCTATTAGCTAGTTTTCTTGTAAGCTGTTTCATTTACACAGACATTCTGACATATTTTCAACTCAGAGACCTCGACATAAAACCCTTTTTGATCGGTAATTCTACGCTTTATATATCTGTCTGGACAAGAAGTGGCATTACCTTTAGCTTGCTTGGTTTTTGTCTTAGCATTTGGGGATGGAAAAGCTACCCCTTACTCTATAAAAATAATAATATGTATAAAACAATATAAGAACTAAATCCAAATCTCTTCAGAGTTTTACCATATGAATTGTTGCTCTTCATATGTAATTTAACATGATAAACATCCTAACCCTGATCGTAAATCTAACGTTAACCTTTCTGCAGAAGTGAAGCAGAAACACACTAAATGTTCCTGAACACTGAAACCTGAGGCACATGCTGGCTAATTAAAATATGAAAAAAGGCCAACACTCCCATATTTGAGTACACTTTAATATCAAAGAAAATTATCTTTCATATTGCAAGAGAAAATTAATGATAATCTATGAATGGTAAACACAATACTGTAAAATGAAGCATGTAGAATCATTTTTAAGATGAAATTCTTAGTACGTTTTTCAGTCGACACACTTTGGTGCCGTTTTCTTTGCACATTTAATTTGGAGGCAACGTTTGAACACGGATCCCTCAAACTGTTGGAGACAAAGGCCTGGAATTTCTTTTCTTAACATCAGAATAATACAGGATGTAATTTGGGACGCTACATGTAAAATGATGAATATCCCATAAAGTCCCATATTTGAGCACACACTAATAAAAGAAAAAAAATGTATTGTAAAAAATACTGCTGCCAATTTCTGAATAGTACATAGATCCATTCCACAACAATGTTAAAATGTAAATCTCATCTTCATATTAGTATTATACACATGAAGCTAAAATTGTCCAAACTTGCAACGATAACATTTTAATGCAAATTGGAGAAGATTGAGATGGAGTGACGTCTCAAAAATGAAAACTATAATAATATAACCAGTATTGTTATTTTATTATAATAATGTATTTAAAATATATTTATTGTAATTATTTTCTAAAGTATAATTTGACTAACATTATTAGTATCAGAGTAAATTCTGCACACTCGATTCAGATTAGACTACCTACTGATATTTTAATACCATTTTCTTCTTTTCTGAAGCTAAGAATTCCTACTTGTTTATTCCACGTGGCTTATTTGCATTGTGATGGAACAGAACTCCAAACCATTCAGAAATTGTCAGCAGTTGTTTTTTTATTAATCTGTGCTCAAATATGGGAGGGCTGTTTTTTTGTTTTGGGTTTTTTTTCTTCACATTTTAGTGAGACGTCATTTTTGGTGTATCGTCCAAATTAAAAAGTCTGAATCATGTTGATGGTAAGAAAGACTTTGGGGGTTTTTATCTTACAGTTTTTGAAATATTCAAGTTCATCATTTTTCCCCCACCAAAAATATATTAAGATATATGAAGCTAATTTCACAACAGTCATTAGACATATTCAAACACTGGACCATAGATTTTTACCAAAATGATATTATAATAATTGTCTGATTTCAGATGGCATGAGCCAATCATGTAACATCATAGGAAGCAGGGTACATGACCACAAAGTGCTTCAAAAACAAAAGAATTTTAAAGATTACAATAGATTTATTCTGGCTTCATTGTGTTCTTTCCTTCTGACCCTGGTCAACATTTATGCAGTTCTGAATGTATGATAACATATTTGGGTCTATAGGAACACAGTAGTCTAATCTACTGTGTTCTCCCTGATGCACAGGGACAAAAGCGGTCCCAACTTACCTTTATTTTCAAGAAGAGAGAAAGCAGAGTTGATGATATTTTCCATGTTAGGGCCCAAGGTTTATTTTTTATGTAATAATGACACCAAGGCTTTTTGTCTGCTGGCAACAAATACAAGAAGGAAAAAGTACTATCATTATTATTAGTAATATTATTATTATCAACAGGACAATTGTGGTGGTCATTTTATTCACAGGTTTAACTAAACTGTTTGGATCTAAGAGATCAGTTTTCATTTTAGTGATAAACCTTTGTGGTTGAGTCCTTAGCGGTAAGAGGCTACCATAGGGGAACGTCTATGCTGGCCTTCAGCTGCCGTGGCTGCAGAAAAAGAGGACTTCCAGAAGCTGATGGATGCTCTTAAAGTCTTAAAGTCTTAGTTTTGTCCAGAACGACGCCCCGTCTCTCCATCCATGCTCACTGTGGAGCAGCGTGCACTTTTAGTTAAAGTTACATGCCTGTGGTTATTGATACAGTTCCTATTTTTTCTGGTTTGCTTTCAATAAGACTCCACGTAAAGGTTACAACCAATCTGGCTTCTGTTCACGCAGAGGAATTTAGATTCAGTCACAACTTTTCCTGGTAAAATAACCTTCAATGGAAGATTGTGATCAATTAAATATGCTTGGACAGTTTGGTATTAACACCGTGTCTGAACTCTTATGTTGAATATTAGTAGTTTTACTGCTTGACTAATATGAAAACAAGTAAAGGTGTGTTCATACTGTGTTTTCAAGTATATAGGTGTTAAATCTTCTATTTTTACAGACTTCTTGCTCTCATGTCTCTAATATTATATGGTGACCTTCAGAGGGTTATTCTGCCCCCTGCAGGTCAGCTGGTGAAACCACACACTGACGCAGTGAGCACTGCCCTCCTCTCCTTACACAAAGACATTTTAATCTCATCATTGCCAGCATTATTTAATGAATACGTGGTGTTTGCAGCAAAGTAAACAAAGAAACAGAATCAGGTTTGTTTGTGCGCACTGTAGCTTCAATTAACTATAATCCGAGTAAAATTTTAAAAAGGATGAAGCACTATTTTTATTTATGTATTTGTTTATTTATTGCGCTGTGAGCTGCAGCTTCTGATTTTAAGGGTCTGCGTGTGGCTAAAACGATGTGTGTGTGTGTGTGTGTGTGTGTGTGTGTGTGTGTGTGTGTGTGTGTGTGTGTGTGTGTGTGTGAGAGAGAGAGAGAGAGAGAGAGAGAGAGAGAGATCAGGAATTCATTAGTTGAGAGGAACCTGTATGCCACAGTCTGTTTTCTGTCAGTGTGTCGCATGCCGATTTCTTCCCAAGGCCAAGAGGATATTCCTTACGCACGCGCACGCGCACAGACGCCCGCACACATGCGCACAGAGACACTCACACACTAAGGTTGAAAGAGTCTCACACAGAGAAATTCTCCGAGAAACTGAAAGACAGAGACACCCACAGCATAAAGACTCTCAGACAATAATAATCAAGCAGCTTCTCAGGTACAAAAAGACAATAATATATGTTTCAAAACAATACAAAACAACACGTATGGTTTATTTAAACCTGTATTTTCCTCATATCATTATTTTATTCGTTTATTTTCACATATCACTGAAGGCTGCGCAAAGAAAAAAAACGCAAAGTATGATATATGTTATTTAAGATATATATTTATGAATTATCCATGAAACACGTCTGAAAAAGGCATGTTAATATATTTAATAAGACACTCTTGTCTAAAAACAGATTTCTGAGTTTGATTTTGAAACATTTTTGGCAAATGGCGTCATTACTCATAAATTCTTATTCTTAAATCAAGGCAGCAGGTAATCCGTCACACCTGAAATTAACATCCTGCTTTTCAGTTGGGAGAACTTTATTTCAAAAAGGCCTGGTATTAAAAATTAAAGGTAAGCAATTATGTGTAATTACTGAACAGAAACTGGGCAACACATTTCTTTAATTTCACAAAAATAAATAAATAAACAACTAAATACATGTATAAATAAAGAAGACATAATTAAATACATCTTATTATATAATTTTATGTCGGTGTTAATGACCTTGGGATCCCTGCAACAGTAACATATGTGGAATTTTAAAAACGTGATGCTAAAGGTTTTGGATTTGTATATAATTGTTTCAAACGTTTTAAATGTTGTAAATGAATAACATGTTGTAGCCTTCGTGAAGCAATAGAGCTAAAAAGATGACAAACATTAGCTAAAACCAAGCGACAGATTTTTTTCTCTGTACATTCTGTGGGAATTAATCCAAAATACTAGCAAAAAATAATAAAATAAATATAGCATTCCAAAAATGGGGATATCACCATTGTCAGGTGTAAATCCAGTATTTGAGAGACAAGAAAACTAGTCTGCTTTAAATGCAATCTTATCCTTTCCTGTTTTCTGCTCACGATTCTCTTCACCCAGAACCGGTGAAAAGACGTGGAGGATCAAATCCGTTAGGCAGCGGAACCTGGACAGACAAGCTTTTGAAAACTTCACTCTACATCAAGTGTGGAGCGCTTTTGTATGTTTTGTTTGTATGTGCACTCAGTACTTGATTTATCTGTGAAGGATATCGTCTTTGGCGCCTGTGTCTTGCAGCTGAAAAGCTGACTGCGTGTCCATGGTCTGCCAGTCTGCTTCGAGGCTCAGTGCGCAGTTCTCGGCAGCGGTGCACTGGCTCCAGGCACCCGAGGACAGGACTGAAGGTAGGTCGCAACCAAACCAACCTTTCGGGTGTCTGCTGATATAATATAATATAATATGATATAATATAATATAATATAATATAATATAATATAATATAATAACACTATTGTATATAATAGTTCTTTTTTTATGTGACAATATATATTTTCCCTTTCTTTGTTTCAAAAAATTGAAACATTCATGCGCACTTATTTTAAACATATGGATGACACGCACCGTGTTGTTGTCACAAGGTGCGTGTTCTAACGGATTCAGTGTGGCTTACTGGACCATCTGAGATTATGTTCATATTTTTCTGCTACTGTCAGTAGCTAATGTCTAATGCGCTAACGTCCTCTAATCACTCGAACACATTATTAAGCTTCACACTCATTCAGACCAATACTTTCTTTAGACGGGAAGGAGAGTGTAGCCTCCGACCAGTATGAACATTTAATGTTGAGCGCATATGGTAAATGCGCCTATACAGTCTCCAAGGTGAAGGCCTGAAGCCTGCGGTATGAAAGGGTAATATTAAACCATCTCTAATTTGGTTTAGAAAAAGAAAAGAAAAACTTATTATTAATGCATTTTGAGTTTCGCAGTAAACCAAGAGAATCTGTTCCTGTCGAATCTAACAGTAGTAGCTTTTCATTTGTAGCCAAGAATTAGCTGTTACTCACTGCAATGCAAAACTAGATTGCCGTGCAATCCTTTCACGGAACACTGTACATAAGTTAACAGGGGCATATAAATCAATGTTGAGGCTTTTGGTGGGCAAGTAAAATTGTTTTATTTAGATTTTTGTCTGAGTGTTTAAAAATGTTACAAATTGTTTTTAATGATGAAATCTAATATAATGAAATATTTTTAAACGTTGCGTGGAAAAGTGTTACAATCATTCAAATCCGTTACAGTGTGTGTTTGTAACATAATGTAATGTTGTTATTATTATTATTATTATTATTATTATTATTATTATTATTATTATTATTATTATTAAGGTATATAATTGTGGTCACGTTGGATGTATGATTAAAGCGCAAATTTATAGCCTATTGGAAAATTATGCGCAACTCCCGTAAAATGTTAGATGAAAAAAAATGCTTTTAAATTGCTTCAGAAAAGAATAACTGCAAATGAAAGTCCAGGTAATTGGGTGTTTTCGGGCAAAGAAGAAGATTATTATAGAGCTTTTAAATAACCCTTGTGGTAGGAACAGGAGCGTTTTTCCTTTGAAATATAAACGTGACAGCAAGTTTATGTCTCGGTGCTGATTTCCACATAATACCGTGATGATGATAATGGCGCCTGTGATTAAAGAGGGTTAAGTGGCTGACCTTGTGGTGTGTGTGTGTGTGTGGGTGTGTGTGTAAAGATGATGAATGGTAACGTCGCTGATGCATATTACAAATTAACTTTCGAAAATACACATACAAAGACGTGAGCGCAGGTAAACTGTGAAGAAAGCATGTGGGCTTGGAGAAAATTAGTCTGAAAAAGCAGCTCATCAATGCGTCGGAAACACGCGATCCATCACGGCTGTAATGTGCATGTCTGTTTGAAAGTTCTGTTCACCCTCTGGTTTTTGGGGGGCTTTTGTTGTTGTTGTCGGGGTTTTTACACCGTTCTGTTCTAGGATGAGTTCTGATAGAAAGCTGCCTGCGCTGTGTTTTAAACAGACACCGGAAAGAAAACCTAGGGGTATTTTATTTACTGTCAAGGACTCCGTGCATTTCCAACTGATCAAGGACCCAAGTATGCACATGCAATATTATGTGGGAACAGTTACAATGTTTACAACGGCTAGCTAATACAGAATCACTCCTCTCCCTTAGACTCTCCTATCCAGCATGATTAAGACTTGAATTTGTTTTGTGGATTTTATGTTCAATATAGGTATTTGTTGTGCCTGAAAATGAACAAATAAATGAATGAATGAATGAATTTATGCAGTAGCAGCAAATTTTGCATAAGTAGGTACATTCAAAGGCTATCTCTCATCATCTCATTCTGACCTGTTTTATACCTTTATTTAATCACGGGAGCCCAGCTGATATTACTAAATACATAAAATAAAATAAAATAAAATAAAATAAAATAGAAACTATGCATTTACACAAACATTGCATCACTGGATTCATTTTCAGTAGCTACAACAACTTATCATTGCTTGCAAGATAGAAGAAATACAGCATTTCAAGAAAATACAACCGTTAAAACAGAATAGCATTTAACTTCATGGGAAATGTTTGGACACTTGTATTTTATTTGTTTGTTTTTTTGTTTGTTTTTTGTTTTGTTTTTTGCATCATTGACATTATTCTGAATTAACAATGCTTGGTCTTGTGATAGGAGCACAGAAACTGGAAATGACATTGACAAGTCACTAGATTTGGGTTCCATTCTTTCAAAAAATGGAAAAACCTTGTCTCTACATTTATAAAAAAAATAATTTGAAAAAGTTAAAGTTGTATTTTTTTTTAAGTTAATTTCAAAAAAGCTCCCCTCTCGCGCCTGTAGGTGTTCTTTATTCCTCAAGCTCAGGCCCTCTACCAGAGGCCTGGAAACTTGAGGGTTCTGTGCAGTATCTTAACTGTTCCTAGGACTGCGCTCTTCTGGCTCTTCAGATCTCGGATGTTGTTCCGGGGATCTGCTGGAGCTTCTCGCCTAGCTTGGGGGTCACTGCATCGAGTGTTCCAATTACCACGGGGACCACTGTGACCTTCAGCCTCCACATCGTCTTGAGCTCTTCTCTGAGCCCTTGGTACTTCTCCAGCTTCTCGTGTTCCTTCTTCCTGATGTTGCTGTCATTCTGTATCGCTACATCGATCACTACGGCCGTCTTCCTCTGCTTGTCCACCACTACAATGTCTGGTTGCTTAACCACCACCATTTTGTCAGTCGTATCTGATCTTAGCTCAGATCAGCTCAGAGCTAAGGAGGATCTTAGCTCAGTCAATCATTCTCGACCACACTAGGGGGAGTCTCCTACTTTGACCTCGGGACTTCCAGGTTATACTCGGCACAGATGTTCCTGTACACTATGCCGGCCACTTGGTTATGGCATTCCATGTATGCCTTGCCTGCTAGCATCTTGCACCCTGCTGTTATGTGCTGGATTGTCTCTGGGGCATCTTTACACAGCCTGCACCTGGGGTCTTGCCTGGTGTGATAGACCTCAGCCCAACACGTTCTCACTCCCTAAGCGTAATATTTTACGCTATGTGACAAATCGTCAACATTTTACACTTTCGGGTACCCAACACGTTCCTAAATGACAGCATCGGAAAAAGAAGAACACATGAGAATGGTTTGGACTCAATCTACACATGTTCGTTCATTCTCTTAAAATGGCTTTGGAAAACACTATTTTACGTCATTTAACTGCTGGTTAAGGTTTGGAATGAGGTTAGGTTTAGGTCTGGAACACATGGCTGGAATGTCTATTACCGCGGGACCGTCATTCCACTGGAATTCAGCCATAAGCCTTCGCGGACCATAAGAACGCAGAAGGTCACCTTTCGCGTTCCTCAGGAACACCGCGGGACGTGCAACGTCGGGATGCTACGCCCCAGGAGTGAGAACGGGCTGCTCAGCCTCTATGGATCTTGTGCTCAGAGCTTGTTCTTGTGCTGCCATGATTAGTGCCTCTGTGCTGTCTTTCAGTCCAGCTTTGTCCAGCCACTGGTAGGATTTCTGGATATCAGCCACCTCCTCTATCTGCCGGTGGTACATACTGTGCAGGGGCCTGTCCTTCCATGATGGTGCCTCCTCTTCCTCCTGTTTCTTGGGTTTCTGCTGCCTGAGGTATTCACTGAGCACGCTGTCAGTTGGGGCCATCTTACTGATGTACTCGTGGATGTTTGTTGTCTCATCCTGGACTGTGGTGCTGACACCCACTAGTCCCCGGTCTCCTTCCTTCTGCTTAGCGTACAGCCTCAGGGTGCTGGACTTGGGGTGAAACCCTTCATCGATGGTCAGGAGCTTCCTTGTCTTGATGTCAGTGGCTTCTATCTCCTCCTTTGGCCAGCCTATTATCCTGGCAGGGTACCTGATCACGGGCAGGGCGTAGGTGTTGATAGCCTGGCTCTTGTTCTTACCATTCAGCTGACCTGTCATGACTTTCACTTTCCTAGCTTTGTGTTCAGGCCTATGCAGAACAGCAGTGGGGACAGCACAATTCCTTGGTATATCCCGCACTTGATGGTGACTTGTGCTAGTGGGCTTGGGCTTGAATTTGGCCTCTAGTGTTGTCCGCCACATCCCCATTGAGTTCCTGCTTACCTCACATCCAATGTGGACAGTGGATCAGCTGGAGGCGCAATCGAAGATTGCAGCGGTCCCAGATCCAGCTATACACACTGGAATATTCTCCCATGTTGCTTGTCTGTGTTTTGTTGTGTTATGGTGTGTTGATATCTGTGTATTGCTGGATTATCCTTTTATGTTACACATTTTGATGTTTTTTTTTCCCTTGCTACCTAGCCTTACCTGTCTCCCCAATGTGATGTTTGTGTATTGGCTGTACGGTCTGTCATCTCGGTTGTGGGCAACTGCAACTGACAAATAAAGGCTATCTCATCATGATGAATGCTCTTAGGGTCCTGTTGATCTTGCATAGATCTAGGCATCCCAGGTGTGGGGCACTGAGTCATAGGCCTTCTTGTAATCAATCCAGGCAGTGCACAGGTTGGTCAGCCTGGTCTTGCAGTCTTGGGATACAGCTCTTTCTACCAGTAGCTGGTGTTTCGCTCCTCTTGTATTCCTGCCTATTTCTTTCTGTTCCCCATTATATTGTCTGGCCCATATTGTACTGCATTCACATCATCTAGTAGACCTTCAGAGGGTACTTCACATAGTTTTCATGTAGGATCATATAGTCTTGGAGGCCCCAGGTTTCAACCTTCACCATGATCCTGTCTTTGGAAAAAAGAAGAAAAGAAGGAAGAATGGAATGAAAGAAAGATTATGTCCCCCATGACCTGTCATCCTGGCTCCCCCTTGCCGTAGCATTTGTGTTGTACCTCATCAATCTCTAGCCATTTGAGCAGTTCCTTCTTCTGAATGTTGGAACACTGAGCTCCAAAAATGTCCAAGAACATACGTCAAACTGTCATTACCCATTGCCCACACGAGTGTCCCCTAGCAGAACAATCGAGTCCCTAGATGGAGCACTTTCCAGCACCCCACTCAGGGACTCAAGTTGCTGAGAAGCAACCTTTTCATCTACCAAGGAAAATCCCAATGTACAGAACACAGTAAGAACAAAATCCAGAATCACTCCAGGAAACTGGTTCCAGAGCTGAGTTATACATTGAGCTGAGCTCAGCTATATTTAGTCTGCATCTCGCAACCTCACGCACTAGATGCCTAGTTTGTCTGGCCCCTCATCCCAGACAAATTTGCTTTGATAGATCCTTATGATAGAGGTCATAACCCAAAGTCCAGCACCCTGAGGCTCTACAATAGTGTTAGAAAGTGTTTTGCCCACTTCCTGATTTCCTGTCTTGTTTTCATGTACGTTGGTCACTCCTAAATGTTTCAGATGCAGCGGGTGGTGAGGACAGCAAAGCAGGCAACTGGCACTTCAGTAACCCTCTCAGAGACATTTAAACTGGAAGACTTCCGCGGAAAGCCAAGGACTCCTCGCACCCTGGACACTCACTCCCCCCCCCTCCCTCGGGTAAACACTACAGGTCGATCAGGGCAAAGACAAACAGACTCAATAAAAGTTTCTACCCACAGGCTGTCAAACATGCCCTACCTCCACCCTGATTGAAGGTTGACTGTGCTGTTAAGATTTATGGACATTTTCACTGTATTTATAAACCGTACTTATTCTAATATAATGCAACCAACATTCCTACCTCTACTCATACCTCTTACACCATGTGCAGTACCACTGATCACATTGCACCTTATATTGCACCTGTTCCTTTACATGGCATATATAACTTGTAGATATCTGTGTAGATATTTACATTATTGCATACATTCCCTGTGTAGGTACCTCTTTAACTTTAAGTTTATTTTTTGGTTTCTCCATTTTTCTTTTTTTTTTCTTTTTTCCTCCCCCTCTGCGCGTGCATGGCAGACGAATCCAGAGAAACTGCCAGAACAGCAGCGACACGCGGCGCATGTGGCAGGGCATCCAGGCCATCACCAACTACAGGAAGGCAACACCTGCCTGCCATGATGATGTTTCCCTACCAGATGCGCTGAACAACTTCTATGCACAATTTGACGCTCAGAATGATGTGTTGGTGAAGAAGTCCACCCCCCCTCACAACGACCAGGTTCTGTGTCTGACCTCTGCATATGTGAGGAAAACTCTTTGCAGAGTTAACACACGCAAAGCAGTGGGTCCAGATAACATTCCTGGAAGAGTGCTCAGAGACCGTGGAGACCAGCTGACAGATGTCTCTCTGTCTCTCTTCCACAGCATGTCTTTATCCTGTCTTCCTTCTCTCACCCCAACCGGTCGCAGCAGATGGCCCCGCCCCTCCCTAAGCCTGGTTCTGCTGGAGGTTTCTTCCTGTTAAAAGGGAGTTTTTCCTTCCCACTGTCGCCAAAGTGCTTGCTCATAGGGGGTCATATGATTGTTGGGTTTTTCTCTGTACCTATGAAGCGCCTTGAGGTGACTGTTGTTGTGATTTGGCACTATATAAATAACATTGAATTGAATTGAATAGATGTCCTTACTGACAACTTCAATGTCTCCCTGGGCACTGCTGTTGTCCCAGCATGCCTCAAGGCCACAACCATTGTTCCTGTGCCAAAGAAGTGCCCAGTGTCCTGCCACCACGACTACTGTCCCGTTGCTCTCACACCCATCATGATGAAGTGCTTGAAGAGGCTGGTCATGACACTGGACGCACTGCAGTTCATATGTGTCCACAGATGAGGCCATCTGTGGACACATATGTACGAATGCTGTTCAAAGACTCCCTCTGCAACTGGATCCTGGACTTTCTGACGGAGAGGCCTCAGACAGTTCGGATCGGCAACAGCATCCAACACCACCACACTGAGCACTGGAGCCCCTCAGGGCTGTGTGCTCAGCCCACTGCTGTTCACTCTGCTGACTCATGACTGTGCAGCAATGCACAGTTTGAACCACATCATCAAGTTTGCCGATGACACGACTGTGGTGGGTCTCATCAGCAAGAAAGATGAGTCAGCATACAGAGAGGAGGTGCAACAGCTAACGGACTGGTGTAGAATCAACAACCTGTCTCTGAATGTGGACAAAACAAAGGAGATGATTGTTGATTTCAGGAGAGCACAAAGAGATCACTGCCCACTTAACATCATTGGATCCTCTGTGGAGGTCATCAAGAGCACCAAATTCCTTGGTGCCCACCTGACGGAGAACCTCTCCTGGTCCCTTAATGCCAGCTCCATAACCAAGAAGGCTCAACAGCGTCTCTACTTCCTGCGGATGCTGAGAAAAGCACAGCTTCTGTCAGGCTCAGGAGGGACTCGGAGTCAGACCGTCACTAAAGTTCACGTTTTATTTACACACACAGACACCAGGTGCGAATATATACAGGTGAGGGGGCACAGGAAGAGGGTCTCCGGGAAGCACAGGCACGGGAAGAAGAGGGCTATGTACAAAATCCACTGAAGCTCAGGTAGCTCGGACTCCGGCTTTAGCTCACCAACGGCACAATCCTGGCACAGAGAGGAAAGGCAGGTAAGTAGTGGCACGACAGAAACTCAGAAAAAGGCTCAGATAGGTGATGACACTGACGAGTGTTACACAATAATCCAGCGAGGAAGCACTCTCAGCAGCCGCCTTAAGAAGTGAGTGAGATGATTGCTTGCAGGTGTCCGAGCCAGGGGCTGGAGCCGTCATGACTCCGCCCCGGTAGAGCGCAGTGCAGGGGAGAGAGAGAGAGATGCAGCGCAACAAAAACACTTGTAGCCATACAGAGTCAGCCGAGAAGGCACAGGGTCATGACATCTTCCTCCATCCATTCTTACCAACTTCTTCAGAGGGACTATCGAGAGCGTCCTGAGCAGCTGCATCGCTGTCTGGTATGGTAACTGTACCGTATCAGATTGCAATACCCGACAACGGATAGTGAGAACAGCTGAGAAGATCCTTGGAACCTCTCTTCCCTCCATCACGGACACTTATAGCACTCACTCCATCCGCAAAGCCACCAGCATTGTGGAGGACCCCATACACCCCTCACACACACTCTTCAGCCTGCTTCCTTCTGGAAAGATGTACTGGAGCATCCGAAGCTCATCCGAAACCTTGGCTGATTGTGACCTAGACCCGTTTTCAGACCTTTGCTCGTGTGATTAGGTAGAGGATCAACAGGGGGTTCATGACCCCCTTGGGGGACACTCCCCTAGGGCTTAAATTTGGGACTCCCCACCATTTGACCTTAGAACTGAAGAAGCTTCTCGGATGAGAGGTGAAACGTCTTCAAGCAACATAAAGAAGTCCAGACGCTTTTCTTTCCAAGCTCCTTGAACTGTTTCTCTATGTGTTAGCCCTGTGAGAGAAGCTCAGCACCTTTTTTGCTCGGTTTGAGACCAACCCTACCTCTACTGCCCTTGCCCCCAACCTCCCCCTCTCCCTTCAGGAACAGGAGTTCAGGAGGAAGCTGAGGGTGGTGAACCCCAGAAGATATCCTGGCTCCAAGGGCATCCCAGAGGCTGTCTGTGCAGGCTTTAACCAAGGCCTTGTGAGGGATCTTCACCAGGCTGTTCAACCTCTCCCTGTCTGAAGGTGTCCACCATCATTCCCTTCTCCAAAAAGACTGGAATAGACAGCTTTAGTGATTACAGACCTATAGCCCTCATGTCTGTAGTCATTAAGTGTTTTTTCAAAGATGACTGCTCCTCCCTAAACCTGGTTCTGCCGAAGGTTTCTTCTTGTTAAAGTTCTTCCTTCCCACTGTCACCAAGTGCTGCTCACATAGGGCCATTTGGTTATTGGCTTTTTTCTATTATCATGGAGTCTCTGCTTTACAAGATAAAGTGCATTGAGGAGACTTTTATGATTTGGCACCATATAAATAAAAGTGAATTGAATTTTACCTTTTATGCTGTCCTCTTGTGATTAGAGAACCATAAAAACAGCAAATTGATAAAAACCTGTAAGTCTGTAGTTTAAATTTCGAAATGTCTTTAACAAAGAATATGTGTCTAATTTTGGTTACTTTAAATTTCCAATAAAAGTGTGGTAACTTTGTTTGCAGAGTGTAGCACCATTTCTCTTATTGTCAATATCAATTAACTTCAATTTATTCAGTTCAGTTAATCTGGATTACTGTAAAAATTGCAATGCACATTGTACAATAACAGCTCTCTAATGACAGAGGAGCGTGCTGAGTTGGGAAATGCTGGCTGCACTGTTTTTGTTTTTGTTTTTTGCTTGTGCTTGTTTTTGTCATTCTAGAAACAAATGTATCTGGAATGTTCATTGTAAACTGGCAGGTTAGGTATTTATCATGTCACATGTAGACACACTAAAAATCCCACTTGGAAAATAGCAATTAGTATTATAACATTACATTCCTAATACTGTCAATGGTAAAGGTAAAAGTTATGGGTGTGTATGACAAGATTAATGTTAGTAATTTGTCACTGAGCTAAGCTCCTTGGACGATTTTCTTAAACCCATAAAGCATCTCTGCGCCACTTAGCTCAGCTCATCTCTTCGTCTGCGAGGGGAACAGTCAGAGTGTCAGAGAGCAACAAAGAGACACGAGGAGACATCGTTCCACAGCTGCTTAACAGATGGCTGGAGCTTACACTGCATTCACTGTTTGTCACATATAAACTGCAGGTAAGCACCAACTCTTTGTTTGGTAATATGACTGCTTACCACTGACCAACTAACACTGTGTATATGCAACAAATGTTGATGTCATCTGAAGAAACCTTTTTTTAAGCTATCAAATCTATTGGTGTCGATGCAAATTAAGGATGTATATGAATCATCATCTCTGAGTCATCTTGCATCATTGTAACAGTGACATTTTTGGTTTTAGGATTTCCGTGACCTTTAATACAAATATGTTTGGTGCCCTCAGTATGGAATGCAATAACCGAGGTGCTTTATTTTAATGATTTTGACACAGACTTCATCGTCAGCAGTAAATTACACTTGATGTTGTGTGAAAACAGAACAGCTGGGGGTTAGCATTTTTTATTTTTTTACGGGATGGCCTCAGTTACTTATTTTGGGCCTATTTTTGCTGTTTGTCTACTTCACTGTCAAGTTTCTTTATCTAATTTGAATTGAACAGACAGCTTTTAAATACAGCACTTTCACACGAGCGATTTAGGGTTGCGTAGCAACTGTGAACAACAACATTTCATAGATTTTGCACTGTGGATCAAAGTGACTCTTTCCTGAGAGTCTAGATCGTCTAGGCTATCAAGCAGGCCACTTCATTTCCTGAAGAAAGTGTAGTCTGAATAGCTGAATGATTTGAATTCAATAGCTGTAACCTTCAAATTTGGGGGAAACTTGTTGAATCAGAATATTGAAAGCTCACATACTTTAAATCACTTAAGTCTGTAATTATGTCAAATCTCAAACTCAAAACCAAAATATTTGCATGTTCTGTTCACTCTAATATATTGTGTGTGTGTGTGTGTGTGTGTGTGTGTGTGTGTGTGTGTGTGTGTGTGTGTGTGTGTGTGTGTGTGTGTGTGTGTAGGTGTGTGTGTGTGTGTGTGTGTAGGTGTGTGTGTGTGTGTGTGTGGGTGTGTGTGTGTGTGTGTTGTATTTTATTTTAAAATACGTATGTTTCAACTATACAGACTGAAAAAAGAGGAATTACATTAGATGAGCTGAAATGTGGGGGATTCACTACAGACAGATAAATGGTTGAAATTCTAATCATCCAGTCAGAAAAGACAAATCTGAAAACCATCAACTGACAACAACTGCCCAGATTTAAACCACCTGTCTGCCAAAGAAAAATTCATCAACTGAAAGTACCTGCCAACAGCTTTCGGTTGGACTGCAGGAAATAGTGACGTACTGTCACTCTGCAGCAAATCCCTGGTAAATTTGGTTCAAACTCCATCTAAATGCAAGACCTTAACCAGCAAGTCCACTGGTGTTGCTCCTGGTAAATTGCTCCTGTTGAGCAATTCCTGCTGTTAAGACAATCTCCTCATTGAAAATACATTGTGCATCTATGCTTCAGTTACAAGGTACTCCCTCCAATCGGATCTGTTCACATCTGTTAGCTTTGAGAGATTCATCACTTTCATCACTGGAAAGAAGAGAAACGGTGCTACATTTTGAGGGTCAAAGAATGGCTGCAGACTGAAAGCTGTGGACACAGCAGCAGCTTTCAGATGAATCCTTTCTGCCACACTGCCAGTTGCTTCTCTCACTGTAGCTGTCAACAGTGCGTACCATGCACACGGGCTCAGGGGGTTGGGAAGCGCATCTGTATCCGGAAGGTCGCCGGTTCGATCCCTGGGCTCTCTG